TCCCTTGCTTACCCCAGAGCCCCCTTCCTTCATATCACCTGTATTCCGGGACCTTTTCTTCTTCCTCCTCCCTTAAGATTGCCTCCTCTCTCCCCATGACCCCTTCTTAGGCTCATGAATTGTACATACATGCACAGGTAGAACTTCCTCCTTCAATATTTTAAATTTATTTGTTGATTTATTTATTTGCATGTGCATTGTATACTGTGGTGCATGTGTGTACATGAGTGTGTAACGTGCATGTGTGTAGTGTATATGTGGGGGAGGTCTGTGGTGTGTGTGTGTGTGTGGTATCCATGGTGTATGTATGTGTGGTGTATTTGTATGTATGATGTCTGATGTGTGTATACATATATGTGTATGTAGAAGTGAGTGGTGTATGTGTACATGTGGTGTCTGGTATGCGTGTGAGTGGTGTCTGTGTGGTGTCCGTGTGGTGTCTGTGTGTATACATGTATATGTGTGTGAGTGGTGCAAATGTGTATGTACCCATGTGTGTGCTGTATGTGCCCTTGTACCCAGAGGCCGGAGGAGGGTGTCAGGTGTCCTGCTCTATCACTCTCTGTCTTCTTCCCCTGACACAGGGCCTCTCTTTTTCTTTTTAATTTTTAAATTATTTTTATTGTATGTGTATGTGTGTATTGCCTGCATGTAGGTAAGTGCACCCGTGTCTTGCAATGTCCGAGGAGGTCAGAAGAGGCTGTCGGATCTCCTGGAACTGAAGCTACAGACGGTTAACTGCCATGTGGATGCTGGGATTCGAATCCGGGTCTTCTGCAAGAACAGTCAGTGTTCTTGACTGCTGAGCCATCTCTCCAGCCAGACATGGGGTCTCTTTGAACCTTGAACTCACTGTCTCTGGTCTAGACTGGTGGCCACCAAGCCCAGCAACCCTCCTTTCTCTGCTCCCCCAGCACTGGGATTGCAGGTGTGTGTGGCCATACCTGACTCTTCACGAGCGTGTTGGGGATCTGAACTTAGGTCCTCATGCTTGCTTAGCAAGTGCTCTTACCCACTGAGCCTTCTAGCCAGCCCTAGATACAGGTTTTTAAACCAGCTCAATGCAGACAGTGACATAGGAAGACTTGACACCCCCTGTGTGCACCGACTTCATGTGCAGTATGTTCTTGACTTCCAGGAACTTCCCCAAAGCGTGTGATCTGTGGGAGCAGATCCTGCAGGACCACCCAACAGACATGTTGGCCCTGAGGTTAGCCCATGATGCCTACTTTTACCTGGGCTACCAGGAGCAGATGCGGGATTCTGTGGCTCGAGTTTACCCCTTTTGGAAACCTGACATCCCCCTTAGCAGGTATGTGCCAGCAGGAAACCATATTGTTCTGTTCCTTGCACTCCCTCTTCTGCCTTAAAAACAGAGCAACTCTCTTGGCCCCTCATCTGAAAACTATAGACTCTGCAGCTCATCTCCTAGTTCTCTCCTAATTAAGAGGCTTCTTTTTTCATTTGATCTTCATCTCATTCTGTGAGCAAGACAGTGCCATTGTGTGTCAGTCAGAACAAGATTTGTTTCTGTTGCAGTAACAAGCATCCCCGTTTATAATCCCTGAGCTTAATAGCCATACTCTGTGTCCATCTTTAGTCTTTTAAGATAGGGTCTAACTCTGTACTCCAGGTTGGCCTCAGATTCATGGCAATTCTCCTGCCGTAGCCTCCTCAGGGTTGGGATTACAGGTGTGAGTCCCTACAGCTGCACAGTACCAAGAGTTCTGTGGCCACATCTCTGCTCTCCTCGGGGTCCCTCTGGACATGCCAGTCATACAAGGGAAAGACATGCTCTTCAGAGGGTTTGAAATGACCATTCGGAATGAAGGGGGCTCCCCGCACTCCAGGCATTGGCCAGAATTAGTCATGTGACCTGACATGCTCACCGGACAGTGGGAAGTAGAACTGTCACTCAGAGCCAAGGGAGGCCTGGAGTGTTCCTGAACAGTCCCAGTGGACACCACCATGATGAGTCCATTGCAGCTAATCACAGGATCGTTGTGAGGCCAAACACACGCACAGTCTGAGGAGCTGCATTAGCCTCCATTCTGCAGGGAAGCCACTGGGATCTTTAAAATTTTAAAAACTTTTTAATTTTTATTTCAAAGTGTTTGCTGCATCCCATGCATGCCATGCCTATAGAGGCCAGAAGAGGACATCACATAGCCTGGAATTATAGACTGTTGTTAGCTGCCATGTGCTCTTAACCTCTGAGCCATCTCTCCAACCTAACCAGTAAATATTTTTTTAATATTTTATTATCTTTATTTTATGTGTACAAGTGTATTGCCTGCATGTATGTGAGTGCACCCATGTCATGCAGTCCCACGGAGGTCAGAACAGGGGTTCAGATTCTGCTGGAACTGGAGTTAAAGGACGGTTCATAGCCACCATGTGATTGCTGGGAATCAAACCCAGGTCCTCTGCAAGATCAGTCAGTGCTCTTAACCGCTGAGCCATCTCTCCAGTAAATATTTTTATCAGTCCCATCTGGACACCGCTGCTCTAGAATAAAAACTGCCATTTGCCCCTGTGCTGGACAGTACAGGTGACATCTGAGTGTCAGACAACACATCTGTTCCATCTTGTTTTCACTCGATCCCAGAGAGCCACAGCAAAGAGACTGTCACCCACGAACTCCCTGGGCCTCAGTGCTAGGGTTACAAATGAGGGTGGGCAGGAGGCACAGAGCCCTGGGCTCTGGGTCTGGGGAACCTCAGGCTGGTCAGTGGGCGTATCCAGGCTGAGTGGAGGGTGATGCACAGTGTATCAGAGCCTGAGGGTGTGGAAGCCACCTATAGTCTGAGACTTCCCAGGAAGTCTCCCCTGGCCCATGTTATTGTCAGGGGAGAGACCTTACATTGATGTCTGAGGAAGTGAGGAGGGGACCACCTATGAGTGCAGAACAGGGTTTGGAGATAGTTGGTGAGGGCCACGTTGTTCTCAAGCAATTGTCTTAAGCGTACGTTAGCTCTCAGTGCCCCTTGCTTCGCAGCAATTCATATATTTTTTTTAAGAGTACTGAAGACCTGAGTTGGAATTACTGGGTCAGGACGACCTGTTTTCTCCATGGGTTCCTCAAATCCTCTCTGGCTTCTTCCAACACTACCAGTGGCCATCTTAAAATCTGTGTCTTTACCTGTTGTCTCCCCAAACCTCTGCATTTCTGTCTCTATGAGTTATTCTTACCAATTGGACAGTAGCCATGAGGTTACACTGTTAAAAATAAAACTTAAGGTCCAAGGACCCTACCAATTCTGCACAAAGAGCTCAGGGACAAAGCAAAATGGACCAGGCAAAGCAGATTTTATTTTTGCAAAAGGGTGCATTGAGTAGTCAGTGAGATCCAGCAAGCACACAGGTCCCAGAGGCTTGATAGGTTTTAATCCCTAACCCAAGAAGGCTGTGTCTTTTCCCCATTGGCTGTGGTCCAACCTCACAGTGTTTCCCAGTTGGCTAAAACAATTGATGCAAAGGAAGGTGGAAGATGGTTGACCAACGGATCAGAAGGCTCTACTGCCCTAGGCCATCAGGTTATGGGAATACATCAGGGCCTTTTCTTAAAGCAAAAGTCCTACAGGGTGTATGGATGGATTAAAAGACTAGATTCCATTGTCAAAACCCAAAAGATGTTTTAGGGTTTGAAATAAAAGACTGATATTTCTGACCTATTGCATCTTCATTGGATTCCATCTGAAAGGCCCTTTTGTCCAAACAGTCACACTGGGTATTAGGAGTCCAGTGGGTCCTGCTGGGGACCCATCCCACCTGCTCCCATACATCTTCCTGTCTGATGAAGTCTCTTCTCTGTTCTTAGCTATGTGAAAGGCATCTATTCTTTTGGACTGATGGAAACCAACTTCTATGACCAGGCACAAAAGCTTGCCAAAGAAGTAAGTGGGCCTGTCTCATGGTATGAGGTCCTTTGGGGTGTGGCCTTCTGTGTGTGTCCTAGGCAAGCTCCACCAGGCAGCTTGTTCTCACAGATTTCGGGGAGGCTGGTGTTAGGGGAAGAGGTATGGCCTCTGCCTGTCTGTCACTCCTCTAAGACTCCCAAAGTCCCCAGAGCAGGTTCCTGGACAAACCAGACTTCCATGTCTGCAGATGAAGCCAGTGAGGCTCAGGGACATGGTGGCTGACAAGGAGCTTGGTTGATACTCCTGTGGGCCTGGACTCAGACTCAAGTGACAGGCCTGGGTGCAAGGTGGCACAGGCTCTAGGAGCCCCTCTCTGCCACTCCTGTCCTTGTAAGGGTAGAAACAATGTGCGAGGAGGCGCCGTTCCCAGGCACGAGCCGTTCCCAGGCACAGAGGCTGACATCTGCTCCTTATCCAGTCTCACAACTGGTGCTTTATGTGTGCCTGCTCCTGTCCATGCTTTCTGCCCATGCGATCAAACACCTTGGGGCTGCAATGCAGAGAGAGAATAGACAGCGCCTTCCCAGGGCCACCTAGGTCAGAAGTGGTAGGGGTCAGATTCTCACCCAGGCCTCCAGACCAGGATGGCTAGAATTTAAGTCTAGGCAGACTATTAGTCCCCGGTTTGCCTGCCTTCCTGCTGTGGCTGACCCTCCCCCCAAGCATGTTCCAGTTGGACTGAAGCTTCCATCCGTAGGACAGTATGCTCTGGGGTATCTGAAGATTGCCTGAATCAGAATCAGCCCAGATTTGGCGGTCAGGTGATGAGTTCCTTGCTTTAGCTCCGAGTTAGGCCTGAGGGCTATGGGTAGATTCTTGATATCTTGTCTAGGGGAAAACCACAGGGAGGTCCACTGCTTTGGGGGCTGTCTCCTTGGGTACCTGGGGTCAGGCAGGACAGTTGAAGGAACTCTAGGTGGGGTTATGGCAAGCTGACCCAAAGATGGCCAAGGACACAGTTTCAGTCCTCACGTGGAGCCAGAAGTAGCAGAATAGCTCCCCCATTTTTCTTTCCCGCCCCTTGCTCCTGTTCTCCTGGTACGACAGGCCACACACTGACCCTAGTCCCAGGACCCACAGACAGTTGTGAGGCATGAAGGACATAGCAGTGTCCCCTAGGGTTCTAGAAGATGAGGGTGGGCACCACCAGGTTCTGTCCTCACTGGGTAGTAGGGAGCCCAGCAGGTCTGCCCCTGGCTCCAGGGGAAGGCAGAGAGTTGGACCTTCCCAGGGAACCTTGGGAGGGCTCCAGGTGAGGGAGGAGGCTGTTCAGCCCTGCAGACAGCAAGAAGAAGTTGAGTGAGCCTCACTCACCTGCCCTGTGTGAAAGCACCTTGCTAGCCAGACTCCTTAATGGGGCCCGCGTGCCCAGCCTGCTCAGGTATCCTGGAACTCAACGCCTCTAGCCCAGGGCCCTGAAGACATCCTTTCTGACCTCTTCGTTCCCGTGTGGGCTGGACAGGGCTGTGCCAGGCTAGGGTAGAGGCACTTCACACTTTGGGACATCCATGAAAGGTGACCTGGATTAGCAGGTCTATGGGATCCATGATTTGGCATGAAGGTCTGAGCATAGACAAGTCCAGGGGACTGCTCCATGCCAGCACTTAGTAGCTTTCAGTAAACACTGAACAGGTAATGGAACAAGGAGGTGAAGGCCGTCCCATGTATCCTGCCTGCTTCACTGTGGAGTTCAGGGCTCTTGGGGCTATTGTTATTAACATCAATGTTGTCTGACCCAGACACGTGGCTGCTCCTAACCCAGAAAGCCACCTTTATAGCCACCGTCTGAGAACTAGTAGGAGGGGCAGCCACATGTCTTGATCCATGGAACACATGACACTCTGCACTGCCCTCGTAGCTCTGAAAGGAAAGCAGCTTCATGGCCACTATGGGGAAACTAAGGCACAGAGATGCTGGCTGGAATACTGCAGGAGACTCAGGTATACCCAGCACATTACAGGGGCCGCAGCTGAAGCCTGGCTTTGAAAGCAAGTCCTGGTCTCCCTGAGCCTCCATTTCCTCATCTGTGAGGTGGGCCTCCTCAGCAGCCTGCTGTGGTGGGCATGACACACACTGGCCCTAGGCATGTAGGAAATGAGACGGGTGTGGGATTGTAAGTACTCTGAGTTAGATCCCCGTCCCTGCCCTTGCTCTTGCCTGGCCCAGGCAGCTTGACTAATCCCCTTTTCTCCTTCCTCCCCTCCGCCTCCCCACGCAGGCTTTATCTGTTCAGCCTACAGATGCGTGGTCAGTGCACACCATTGCTCATGTGCACGAGATGAGAGCAGAGGTCAAGGATGGACTGGAGTTCATGCAGCGCTCCGAAGCCCAGTGGAAGGTGTGAGTCCTGTGGGTGGCTGTGTGCTGGACAGTCCAGGCTGAACCTGGAGTTCTGCTGAGGCCTGAGGAAGGGACTTGCAGGTGTGGCTTAGTTCTCTAGGGGCTGCAGGCAACTCGGACACCCACAGCCTCCCCCGGGAGCCCCCCGGCACCCAGCACGTGCCAGTGTTTTCCCCGTGATTGTAGAACTGGGGTTGGCCTGAGGAATTTGACTGTGAAAGGAATGGATCCAAAGATTGCTGGGGAAGTAGAGGCCTATGGGCATGATCAAGGTCCTGAGCTGATTGGGACCATGGAGTAGCCTCAGGGAGAGAAGGAAGAGGATGGGGTGATGCCCACTGTCTTTAGAGCTGGCCTGAGCACTCTGGCCACACTGTCTGTGTTCCCTGACCACAACTTGGTGCATCCCCGCTGCTAAGAGGCTGGTGCCCTCCTTGGGCCTGTCCCCTACCTGCCCTCTAGCTGTGGTGGCCTTTCTCCTCCACATGTGCGTGTTTTCCCGACTTGCCTCTGGCCCATGGCCTGGTCCGTCGCCAGGATTACTTTCTGCCCCACTCGTCTGTGCCACAGCAGACTCCCAGGGTACCACCAGTTAGGGTAGCAAGCTCTTCTCGGGGCCTGCACTGAGAAGTTGATATGCAGTGTCGTTAGAGACTAGGCAGGGTGCACTGATCACCAGGAGCCCTCTGGGCAGCTCCCAGGACAAGGACTGTTGATTTGCAACCAGGCCGGTTCCCAGCAAATCCAGGCATGGACCTAGGCTAAGGTTCGGCGTAGGAAGGTTTGAGGACATGCAACTTTCTAAGGATGCCCCAACTCTGGGGACTGGAAAATTCCAGAGGCTACCAGGGACCTGAGGCCAGAGAGGCCACCCTTCCCTAGGGATCCTAAGCACTGAGTCTGGTGGGGAGCACTAGCTTGTGTAGCCTCCCACTGAGGGGCAGGGAGCTGGCCTGACTTCCCTCATTGCATTCCATCCACATTCCTCCCCCAGACCTCTGGAGTGTGCATGCGTGTGTGCACGTGTGTGTGCATGTGGAAGCCAGAGGTACACTTTTGTGGAACTACATAGATGCCATTCATCTTGTTTTTTTAAAAAAATATTTTAATTTAATTATTTTTATTTAATTTTATGGGCATGAGTGTATTGCCTGCATGCATGTAAGTGCACCTGTATCATGCAATGCCTTTGGAGGTCCGAAGAGGGTATCAGATCCCCTGTAACCCGACTTACAGATAATGATAAGCTGCCTTGTGCATGCTAGGAACCAAACCTGGGTTCCTGCTCTTAACAGCTGAGTCATCTCTCTAGTCCTGACATTGTGACCTTTGAAGCCAGTGCCTTAGGGATGTGCTTAGGACTGGCAGAGGTCATGAGGGTGGTCCCCTGATAGATTAGTACCCTGTGAGGAGGGACATAGAGTGCTCTTGGCCATGAGAGAACGCACTGAGCAGGTGGCTGTCCACAGCCTAGCTCGGCCCTCTCCAGTCCCTCCCCCCTACCAGGGACATGAACTCTAGCCTCCTTCATCAAGAGTGGCAGCTTGTGTCATGGGAGACACTGGGTGACTGTGGTCAGGCTGGTCTGACATCCATGCCAGGAATGTTATCACCTTCTCTTCAACCACAGGGACAGACAAGACATCCACACCCCAGGGACAGGAGGAAGCTTTCCACCTCTAGCACAAAGTCACATACTCCATCCTTGGAGAAAACAAGATGTAAGATCTCAAAGCCACCAGAGCCGCAGGGTGTCCCTGGAATAGAGGTCAGGGGAGGGAACAGTCCGAGATAGGGCTACTGAAGATGGTGGCTCCATCTGTACACCAGGTGGTGTTTGCCCAGTGTCGATCAGGTAAACTGAAAGGCAGAAACCTCCCCAGTGTAGGTTTCTGTTTACCCAGGGTTATGATTTTTAAAATTATGAATCATGGGTATTTTAATTGCAAAATAGACCACAAGAACTCAGGGTAAGGCCCTGGCTTTCTGGCTGTCCGGGCTCTGGATACAGAGGACTGGTATCATTCCATGAGGTGACAAGTATCAGTCCCTGAGGGATGACTAACATCCCCATCTCTTTGAAGGCACAGGGTTCTAAGGGACTCACAGGGCCAGGTGATTCATCCTTCCACTCACACACTGATGCTCATCAGACTAAGAAAAGCAGACAGGACACTTGCTGGCTTCCAAAGACCCCACCAGACACACAGCATGGCCTCTGAGTCTGTACACAGGGCTGGGCCCCACAGCTCACCCTAAGTAAGCACAGACATGCTAAGAAGCATCACTCTGGGTACTCTCTGAATGCCAACACATCCTCTCTGTTCACAAGTGAGCAAAACAGAGGCAGCCCCCACCCTAGGGGTCACCACACACACACACACACACACACACACACACACACACACACACCTCTGTCGTAGCAGGGCCTGGTCACTTAGAATGAGAAGCCTCATGGTAGCTCATGAACTACACCATCACAGGGATACTTGGGGGTGTGGGAACCAGGAGGCGACATGGAGCCCAGGTGGGCTGAGGGGACAGTGGCAGAGGTCACCTTGAGCTGGGTGTTGTAGAATGAGGACACATTTGTCAGCGGAGATGGGAAGATGGAGGGAACCCCAGTCCAGGATCAGTCCAAGCACAGACGCCAAGGCCTATGGTGGCCTGTGAGGGTGTTCTCAAGCCCAGTTTGGTGTTCTAAAGCCCAGGTGTGAATGTGGGCCCTGTAGAAGGTGCTGCAGGGCCTCTTCCCCGGGGAGGTGAGGGGGTGTTCGGCCTAGGCCTCATGACAGAGACCTCTGGACAGAGATCAGATGAGCCCTGTGGGCTCAAGGGATCAGAGTCCCCATAGACCTGTGGCCTAGGATGGCAACCCCAAGCCATCTGCTCAGTGCATACTGAATACCACCGTGTGCTTGTGGTGAGATGGACAGGCTTGGGAACTCGTGGACTTGGCTGGCCCCTGACAGGAGCTGTGCAGCCTGAGCTGTGTGCAGGGAACCCCTGTGGGCTTGACCTTTTCAAGAACCTCTGCAAGGACAGCTGTTGGCCACATCCTCATGACCAGCTTGTTTTAGATTCCGGTGTCACCTGTCAGAAATCCTGAGTCCACTTTCCCAAGCCTGGAGCATCGCAGCAGGGGCAGCTCTGTGCACAGCACAATTTACTTTAGAGAGCCTCGTATTGAGAGCCGGCTTGCAGCATGTGGCAGAGCAGAAGTGGTCCACACGTCAGCTCATTCCCCTCACCCTGTGGGCTTTGCCGGCTGCCCTGGAGTACAGCCCTGTAGCTGGTCATCCTCATGCCCTGGCCACTGGGGCGCACAGCAGGCTCTATGCTCTGTGGAGTCTGTTATTCCTTTCTCCACTGCACACGCACCCGAGACAGAGACTGGGCTGCTGAGGCACCTCTGTGACGGTCCTGGTAGTGCTGCCTCCTAGTTGGGGGCTAGGAGCTGAGCCCCTCTCCCAGCCTCAGTTTCCTCCTGGTAAATGCAGGCAAATAGTCACTGCTTCCAGGAAATGAAGGTTGTTCTTGAAATGCAGATGGCTGACACAGGGTGAACTCTTAGCAGTGCCTCTCACAGGGTGAATTCCTGCCCTCAGGTCTGGAGCCCACAGTAGCACACAGTGATACTTAAGCCTTCCTTAGCACACGGTAAAACCGGTTTTTCCTCCACAGACTCTCAGACCTTTCTCTTATTCTATCTACAGGATTCCGATATGCTGGCTTGCCATAATTATTGGCACTGGGCCCTATACTTGATCGAAAAGGTAAGATGCCATCTCTTCAGATTGTCTCACCCAGTGCAGATGTTTGGAAAACAGGAGCTTCCTAGCTCCCACTGGTGTGTGCCTTCTGTGGAACCCCGTTGTGTTTTGGCATGGCACAACACCCCGAATCAGTCCAGCATCCATGTTCCAAGAGTGCTGATCTCCTCAAA